GGAGTCGTGCAGAGAGCTTGCAAGCTAGGAGTCTGTGCTCACAACTTTCACTGCAGCCTGAGAGCTCAACTACCGTACTGTAACTAGTAGGAGTGCAAACTCCAAAAAGTGAAAACGACTGAACTAAAAGAGCGACACAGCTGAACACAAACTGCACGTTGTAGACTTCACTGAACACAATAGAAATGATCAGGCCGGAAAACTTTTTTTCTCTCTCAGAGACCTTCAAAACATGCACTTATATTCTGGATTTTATAGTATGACAAAAAGTATCATTCTTCATTCTTACTCAAAGTCAGCAATTTTTTTCACTTTTTGAGTTCACTTTTTCACTTGCTGTATTTGTTGCTTTTGAGCTTTTAGAGATGAAATGATCTGGGAAATACATCAGCTCCTGAAGCTAATTTCAAACATGCCAATTGTAGTGATCGATAGAACTCAACAGTGATCCCCACTTTTATGGCGGCTCTGGTTCTGAAAGTAATTTTCCTTCAAATCGTCGATTGACATTTGAGAAATTCCTTTTGTAAAAATGTTTTAGTCCTGGAACCAAACCAACTGTTGTTCCACTGTAGGAGGATATCTGTCATACACCACAGGATAATACATCTTATTGTATTGATACCAGGTGACCTGGACATGAGCTTTTTGTCTGACATGGTACCACAGCACAGCTCCCCTCCACTGCAGTCACTGTTTTAGGTACAGTGATGTTCCAGCTTCTCACTGCTGCAGCACAGAGAAGCCTTTGTGTGGGGGAGAGGAGGAAGAGGAAGGAGGGTGAATGTGTTAGCAAAGTTGGCAACAAATGTTAGTGGTTCAGTGAAGAAAAGCTGATGAGAAAGAAAAGTATGTGTCATGCAACAGGAAATGAACAACAGTGAAAGCTGCTTTTGAAAGCAAAGTTTAATGTACAGCCATTTGTCATACAAAGTAACATTATGAGAGCTGTCACTCACACTCGTTTCTTTGGTGAGGTTATGTTTCAGAATAAAAACATCTAAAAACACTCTTATTATTCGGGACAGTGACCAATTCGAAGTCTGGCTAGCAAGCCAGTCTTTCTGTTAAACATACTGTTCTGATCATATTAACCGTTTGGTAGCCATAGGTAAAGATGTTGAGAGAAATGTGTGCTAGCTGAAGGTAACTTCATAGCTTTCTGGTTCATTATTATCTCAGGCAACATTAAAGTGACAGCACATGTGACAGTGTCAACACATGTAATAAGGTAGGCCAGAGGGAATATAAACTTAATGAGAATCAGCAGGAGCAAAACATCAGGTTCATATATTGATATGTTACATATTTTATGATAGAAGATATTTGACAATATTGTCATACTTGATGACTGCATTATGTTCTCTCAGACTCTGCTCTGAGAGCTACTTGCATATTGACTGCCCTTCACATCACCTTAGTAGAACATGGTAAGCCTGTTCTGCAAATTCATCCCATTTATAAAAAGGGACTGAAGGTTGGGAGCACAGGTTTTTTCATGTTTCACTGAAGCTTTATCAAAAGTTAAAACAGAACATAGATATCGACAAGCAATTGTGTTTTTCTTATTGTTTGCACTGCTTCTTTAGTAGGTCTGAATGCTGAAATCTTCTGTAAATTCACAATTTAAAGTTGATATATATTTTTTTTAAATCTTCTTTTTTAAACTACACATGCTTTTGGCACATCATCATTATCACATTGTCATAAAATATCAGGACCCTGAAAAGATACTGAAAGAAACTTTGGCTTTTCTGAAGAAAGAACCACACTGACTTGGAGGAAGTTGCGTCTGCAGAGGAGCAGACTTTAACAGTTCTCCTTTCATCATTTTCACACAGGCTGGTCTCGAACTCGTAACTCAAGTTCCTGTTATACTTTCCATCCACAGAGCACTTTGTTGGATGCAACAGTGGAAACTCGTAAATTTCCGACTTTATTCTTTATTATAATTTGGCCCTAATCGTGGCCCTAATCCTCCGTTGTTAAAGAGAAACTTGTTAGGCTGAACAATTATATGAAGTCTCAAGATCTGTATTAAATAGGCGACCTCCAAACCCACAACCTTATTTTGTTAAAATGTATTTTCCCATTTGAACTGTTTGTCTTGGTTATTATCTGTTCTTCTGAGGTTAAGTTGAGTGTCTTGCCTTTTTAGCTGTGAGATTTATTTAAAGAATTACTTAATATATATAATATGCACATGATCTGTAGATGGATGGAAAATGTATAAATATGGTGTATCAACTACCGCTGAATCCCTGTGCAGAGTCTCAGTGAAAAGTAGGCAGCATTTAAGTTGTACCTGCTGTACAAATAGGAAGATATTACAGACTTTTATGATATATTTTAAAAATTTTTGCTGAGTTTCACACAGAAAGAGCTCATAAAGTGTTGTGTTTAATTGTGTATCGTTTCGTTGTTTCAAACACTGCTTCGTCCTTTCTCCGTTCCCTCCACCCCGTCTGCTCTCATGCAGAGATCAGCTGGTGGCTGTGTGTGACAACAATCAGTAGCTTCACTAGGTAACGTTACAGCCTGCTGTAGTCTGTTGCTGTAAACTGAGCCAAACTATGATAGCGAGTAGGCCTGCGTGACATGATAAAAGTGTTATCACGATAAAAAATGTCATATCAGTCGATATCGATAATTGTCATTCATTATTTCTTTCAAATTTAAAGGCTGATTTTGGCTCCTGAGTTAAAGTTGAAAAAACAAGGTGGTTAATTATGGTTTAATTATTCAGAACATGAGAAATATAATTAAATATTTCACCATTATAAGCACAGTGCACGTAGCGCTCAAGGAACATTAGCGCTCCCCACTTCCCAGTGGTTGGTGGTGTAATCACACGATTAAATCTGTCAAACTTTTATTGAACATTTTTCATATTTATTGACAAAAATTATATCGCAATAATTATCATTTCGTTTTATCGCCCAGTCCGGACTGAACTGTAATCTATGTCTGCATCTCATAATCTAGTCTCTAAATTTAACCTGGGCATATTCACATTCAGAGTCCTTTTCACATTTCTAGGCTTCACTTCATTGTATAGATTTACATCTCTACTGCATTGCTCACAAATTCTGCCCAATCTCCTCAAGCTCTTCTCCTCCAGATAGGAGCGACCTGACTGATTTGTGTCGCCAGAGCTTCCTCCCTCCTTCTCGCCTTTGCTCCTCCAAGTCACACTAGTGTAAATCACATCTTTGCTTTCCTCGTTTTTCTTCTCTGAACTTGTCCTGGCATCTTCTGTGTTGTTTCGGCTTGAGCTTGGTAAGTTGGTGCTGGTTGGCTCAGAGGTAGTTGCAGGTTGGGTGACACCTGGTTTCTTCAGCTCAGTGGTGTTAGCATAAATGCCCTCATTTGTTTTGTTGGGTTCCTACAAATCAAAAGGAAATGTCGGTTGTAAGGTTATTCTGCTTATTTAAGTGACACTAAGTAGAAAACTGCTGGATTCCAGGATAAAGTACCTCATCTCCTTTTCCACTTGGTAGATGTTGGCTCATAGCAACTGTGCTAGCGTTACCTGACCCCTGACTCTTAAGCAGGTTGTGTTGAGTCCTCTGAGCCCTGAAAAAACCAGCAGAGTATAAACCTACAAGAATATACTGACAATATCTTTCTTTTTCACTAGTCTAAAGTTGAGAAAAAACTCAGGGAACAGTCCATATTTAGTTATTTTAACACTGGTAACAGATCACAGGATCACATCGTCTGCAGTCGATGTCAACATGTTGTGCCGAGTGTGGCTAGCATTAGCAGTACTAGCACTGCCAGCCTTTGGTCCTCCTTGCAGGTTTACTTCCACATGTCTGTGCTTTTTACGCATTGCTCTGGTCAAGATACACCACTTTAACACGAGACAGCCTACATACAACTTTTACTCCATTTTCTAGATCAAAATACAGTCAAACCTCAGACTGACATGCCACTTGTCTACTATGCTGGTTTACATCTAGGTAGTAGAGCATTAGTGCCCGCCTCCAGCTTTGGCTGGTGGCATTTCAGCATCAACATTCTTATGTGTGCATGTGCAAAGGTCACAGTACAGGACAAACTCTGTCAAGAAGGGGAAATATTCATGATTACTTCATGCCATAACTTTTTTGTTGCAACATACTGGAGCAAAACTCGCAGGTTTTCCACTCAGACTTCGCTACAGCTGCCTGCAAACATGGGGCTTATTGAGAAGCTGCAAACTGTATCACAGCACACCAATCAGTAAAGAACAGTAAAACACCACATAATGAACCACCTGTGGGCATCCTCTCTTCAGAGTAAGGTTATCAACATTTTTTTTCAAAATTTGATACTTTCGACCTGTTTTAAAACAATACTCTTCCAAATCTCCTTTATTCTAATGATCGATAGTACCCAAAAGTACACAAAGCTTTAAATAACTACATATCTTCAGTCATATTTAATCCCAAAGTTGCTTTGAGCAAAAAAGAGAGTAAGAGATCAGCGGTACATCTGAAATTCACAGATCAGCAACTACTGATGTTTCTCCAGTCCTTTAGGTGTCTCATAAAGCTGCATATTCATGTTTATTTGTCCAGACGCAGAGCAGAGGACACTATAAATAACACAAATACTTTGGCAACATTTTCGATCCACAACATTTGATTGAAATTACCTGGATAAGACTTGGTCTGCTCATAGTACCAAAAAATATTAAACATTTCAAAGATTTTAAATTGAAGACCAGAGGAACACCATATAGAATCTGTATCTTCACTCAAATAAAGAATATAAAAGTCCAAGTTGGAGGTTTTTAAACATTTTGCATAGTGGTATTCTGTACGGTTTGGCTTGATTTGCTGTTACCCTACCTGATAACAAAGAGTAGAGCACATACTAGCACCAGGAAGACGACAATGGTGGCGATGAAGACTAGCAAAATCACTGAAAAATACAAAGGACAATAAGGGATTATGGTTCAAGCTCTTATTCAGACGAGATTATTATTTGAATAAATTCGGACATCACTTATTAATTATTCATTTTGTAAATTGTTAAATCAGGACATATTAAAGCTTTCAAGAGGAATTTATGTTCACCACTTACCCATTCATAAAGCTTTCTTGTTAATACTTAGTAATTACGAGAACAAATGGTGAAATGTGCCGCTTACCAATAAGTTATACTCAGTTCAGAGACAAACCTTGACTTTCTGCAGATGTTGGAAGGCTGTAGAAAATAAATCGCTGAGAAGCAGATCCCAGATAGTTTGAGCTGCGACAAAGCACAGTGAAGTGATCCTTCCATTGGGCTTGACTCATGGTGATGAAGCTCACGCCTGTACCATTTCGATGCTCATAACTGATTGCAAACTCTTCTGAGTGATTGACAGTTAACCCATCCAAACTCCATTGTAAAGTGGGAGGAGGATTTCCCGTAGACTCACAGGAACAGTTGACCTGGTTAGCAGTTTTGGTGCAATCAGATGAGGACATGATCTGTGGAGCATCTGTAATGGATGTAGGGAAGAGAGACAAGTAGAGAGTCAAGTAAAGCCATGCTGTATCAAATTTGCAAAAGTAAAAGATAAGGCTTATGGCTGTAAAAAAAAAGAAAAGAAAAGTTGACCAGCTGTGAGTGTCCAAGTGAATGAGGCAAAGAAAAATTCAATTTCCTCCATGTCAATTGGTTTTCATTCTGGGCCTGTGTCCACAGAGGGCGCTTTTAACGCTGGCAGCGCCTATTTTCAATACAAAACCAATGTAGTTCAGTGTTTTCAGCACTCATAAGTTTCTTGAGGCCGCATTTACTCAGCTCTCAGTTGAAAACAATTCCACTTATGGAACAGCACTACGCTCTTCTATGTCACATCTCCATAACCAACCTATGGCGTTTTATCCCAGCCAATAAAATTGCGTGCGCACAAGATCCATGCGCAAATTTAAAGGAGCTCAAACAGCCACGCATGCATATTATTTTTGCAGCTTGCACAGCATTCGCTCGCAGAATTTATCTGCTCGCGCGAGCAATATTGTAACCTGCAAGGAGAAAACCATGCTTTGAGCACGAGCAAAATCTCACCCTGAGCGTGTAACTACAGTGCTCTCTCCTGCTCGCTCGCGAGGTGTTTTTTCTTTTCGCGCTCAAAGCATGGTTTTGTCCTCGCAGGATACAATATTACTCGCGCAAGCAATTTTATTTGAATAATGGTAATTTTACTTGATATGCACATTCTTACTAAGCAGACCTTTTTGGGGGTAAAGTTAACATTTGCTCGTCTCTAATTTAATTATAGAACCTCATATATAACACAGTGTTTCCCCTACCATTCAGGTCGTTCAGGGTGGATTACCCAAAGTGATCTCCCACCACCCTAAAAGAAAGGCACTAAATACTTTATGTATGTAAACTATCGATCCATCCATTATCTATAACGCTTTTCTCCCTTTATTTACAACAAAGTTAATCCTCTACAAAAGAAAGATTTTATGGATTTGAAGTTTCCAATCAAAGAAAATTAAAGATAAACAAAGAGACTTTCATACATTTTGAAAAATGTAACTGATGAATGACACCTACAATGTACATCTATTTGTCTTGTGTTTGATTGAAAACTTCCCAGTTCATTTTCAGCCTTGCAGAAAAACGGGCCTCTCTTTCTCGAAGCTTATTAACAAAGATTATTTACATTCCTCATTTGTAAAACGCTGCACAAAAGAAGCCTGACCTACCTGCATTTATGCAAATGTTTCAAACGATACCTACACTGAACATCCATCTGTGTGTTGTTCGATCTTCCACTTCCCTCTTCATTTGCTGCACGCAGAAAAAGGTCCTCTCTCCCTAGAAGCTTTGATGTTTAAAACACGTCCAGTCCCCATGAAAGTCTCCTGGCCTCCATCAGCTCTGTACCAGGTGTAGTTCTTTACAGCTGGGTTTGCATTAGCACTGCAAGTCAGTGTCACATTTGTGTCTTCTTGCACTGGACCAGAGGGACTGACTGACACTGTGGTCCCTTTGGGTGAATCTGAAAAGAGAAAAAATAAAGTTGTATTTTTTGAATGTAGTTTATTTGTGATGAGGGATAGAGAATGTTATGCCTTTATCCTGAACAAGCCCTGCTAAACATCAATAGAAACAGCTAGTAGGACCAGTGTTGGGCTGTAACGTATCACTAGTAACGCGTTACAGTAATGATATTACTTTTACAAGTAACAAGAAGTGTAACGAATTACTAATGAAATTCCAGTAATAATATTACAGTTACCACACAAAAAAAACTTGTTACTACATTACTGTTGTTGTTATTACCCCACTTCAGATTTATGCAACAAACCCCAGATTAATTTTGTTGCGCATCTCAGACAAGCAGGAAGGTAGCGAGCTTCATGGTTGCCAGATATACGGATTTGGGCTTTTTTTTAGGTGCCCCAGAGGGTAGTTTTTTTTGGCCATTGGGCTTGTTTTGTCATTTGTTGTCACACATACCTGGCAACCCTGGCTAGCTTGAAAGATGGAAGTTTACATTCAGTGGCTGAAAAATTCCCATTACTTAAGTTTTGTCGACAGGAAAGATAACAAGAACATCATTGTCAATGTAAATTGTGTCCCAGTACCAGGACTCTTTATACTGCAAAAAACAAGACTTCAAAACTCCTTAAGCACTTACAACATCTGACGACAGCACAACAACATGAAGCTCGTGTAAATAAACCCCACCAATGAGCTGTGGAGGACAGCTGTTATGGAGTTATATCAGTCTCAATTCACAAATGCACACAGAATGATTCATAAATGTATTTCAATGCACACACAAATATATTTCATTCTATATAAATGTAAAACAAATCCACAAATAAAAAAAAGATTCACAAATGTATTTCTGATTCACACACAAATATTTATAGTTTTGTAAACGTAGACTAATAGAAATCCACAAATATATAACTGTTCAGTCTGCATTTACAAACTGTTTGTCATTTGTGAACCTCACTGCATTCTTAATTTGTTTTTGAAATGGGAGATTAAAGTCCAGTGTTACATTCATTTATAATCAGATACAACTGTGACCTTTAACCCTGTGATGAAAACACTGAGTGTGAAATGATCTGTTGACCTTTGTGAAAAACATGCAGATTGTTTTCTTTATGTTTAAGTATTGACAGGAGTTATTAAACCACTGTGTGACATTAGTCATCACTGCTGTTAGCTTACGTGCAGCTTGCTGGTTTGTTGTCATGTTCAAAAATGATAGTATCATCAGCGTACATTAGGATGTCTGACCTAATAGCATTCATTTATTAGATCATTTATGTAGAGGCTAAACAACAAACCCTGTTCATACAATGAATACATCTACAATCAAACATCTGAGTGGAGAGAAAAAAAGGTAATCACACATGGCAGTATGCACACCCCAGGTGACGGCCATGCTCGTAACTGTTTGCTAAATGATTACAAAACAACAAACAAAGAAGAAGAAGCATGTATTTTATGTAATCAATTTAATCACAAGACACATACTCACATGTAATGTCAGCTGTTAAACTGGTGTTCACAGATGACTCAGTGCTGCCATCTTGTTTTCTGTAGACAGCAGTACAGGAGATTTCCTGTCTGTGATGGAGGTGTGATGCTTGAAGTTCAGCACAGAGATCTTGACTTTAGTTTTGTCCTGATTCTCCTGCAGGGTCTCCTGACCTTCACCCAGGCCGGGGCTCCATGTCAGATTTGGAGGAAGAGACAGACAGGGAGCTGGAGCAGAGCAGTTCAAACTCACTGAGGTTCCCTCTTTCACCTTCAGTGTGGGCGGAGTCAGAGTCGGTCTGGGTGGATCATCTGTTCAGAAGATACATAAACATGTATAAGCAGTCATTTCTCTCTACTATCAAAGGTTTGATTTATCTTTATTTTAAAGTAATCAATGATAAGGTCAGAGAACTACTACATGACTGAACTGTAATAATTTAATTTGAAACCTACCTTTGACTGAAATTTTCACGCCATTAAAATATATTTCAGATTATTGTCACATTCCAATCTAAAATATGCACTTTGTTGTTTTGAGTTGCATGTCATTCAGGGTTGTGGTGCAGTCTTTTTTTGTTAAGTCACCGATCAATTGTCCTTTCTGTTGTGGATTACTGCTATCAAACACAACAGGTCCCATAAATTCTTTCCATAATGCTTTACATGTGTTATCTAAGTTTACATTATATTGATCCTTACGTCAAAGGAGCAGGGGATTGTCACACAGGATCCCTTCAGAACCTCTATAGTCTTTGGTATAATGATCTCAAACTGTCCACACAGGGCACCTGAAACACAAGAAACAAATCCTTATTACAATTATACATTTACAATACAATCCTTATTCATATTGAGTTTATAATGTCTATATTACTAAAATCATTGACAGGGATAGAGGTTTCAAATGAGCTGTGGCTAGAAACCTGACTGCATGTTATCTACTTTGTATTTATATGAAGCAATGTTCATTGCACGTGTCTCTGTTAAATAAACAAACAAATAAATAAATAAAGTCATGATACAATTTATTGTTGGCTCTGTTTCTAAAAACTTTAAGAGTCACAGATAAAATAGTCTTCATGTAAAACTCAGAGGATTCATCATTTTCACAGTTATTTTTTACATTAAAGTTGTAAATTTAACACCAAATCTCTACATTATGATATCAATAAAAGAAAGCAGAACACATTAGTAGCTAATTTCTTTGACAAATATAAGTGAGCATCTCACCTTGCAGCAGACAGCCAATGAGGAGGAAGTCAGAGCTGCAGCCATCTTTGTGTTTCAGAAGAGGCAGAAAGTCTGGAGAGAATACATGTAGATTTACAGTTTAGTGTATTTCGCTCCAAATAAACTTAGATTTCATTTTGAGGCTGTTGTTGAATGTGATCTTTGCAGAAGTTGCAGATGGAGAAATATCTTGAAATGTTTAAATCTTCATCAATGTGGAAAAGGTTGGATCCAGAGTTTAGTTAACTAAATGATCCCAATAAAACTAAAAGACTTCAAGGTGTGCAGCTTCTCATTTTAAGGTTTAAATTGAAATCTTTCTGCATTTCATTCAATTCAAGTAAAGATGCTCATTATTAAAACATAGAAGATGAAATGATAATAAAATAAAAAACAGGAAGTTTGACTGCCTGCCTCAAAGAAAAGAGACAAAACAGAAAAATATATATATATTTTGTCTGAGTTCATTTTGTTTACAACCTCTTTAAGGAAACTATTTGATCAGTAATAACGCCCAGAAGAAAAACTGCATGAGAGCTTTAAAATGTTCAAAACTTGATCAGAGTGAATTTTTTTTCTTTCCCCTGTAACAAAGTT